ACCAAGTTGCCCAGGTTGGTCTCTCACTTCTTTTGGTTCTGTTTTTGAAATTCCCATCTCTCTTCTTACATGACCCATCTGTTCTGGAATGTTTTCTACTTGATCCATTAGATTATTAGCATATTAATCATAAAGCTTTAACTTCCCAATCTAGTCATTCTCACCCTCCTGCTATCTCTGAGTTGAGTTTGACGCTTGCTCTGTCTCTTCAGACTGACTGTGTTTTGCCTCTTTGTCTATATTGTAATTTCTTCTTGAAAGAAAGGTGGACATGGTACGCTGGGTAAAAGGACCTGCATTAAACAGGCCTTTGATCATGTGGCAGTCGTGTCGGGGGAGGGAAGCCTCCTACAGCCCTGGGCTCGGGTTTCTTTTCCTGACCCCTGACTCTGGTATGTGGACTTCACCAGGGTTTCTCAGTCATCATCCCTGCCTTGGGTGGGGCAGGATGGCTAGAGTGGGCTGGAGAAGGTATTTTTCTTTTCCCAGGTCAGTCAGGCTCTGATGAAACCCCAGCAGGTTAGGCTCTAATTAAAGTTTCTCCTGAGGGCACAATGTGCTGGCATATTTTTATTTTATTTTATTTTTATTTTTTGAGTTGGAATCTCACTGTGTCGACCAGGCTGGAGGGCAGTGGCACACTTCCGGCCACTGCAGCCTCACCCTGCTGGGATCTGGCGATCCTTCTGCCTCAGCCTTCCAAGTAGCTAGAACTACAGCCTTGTGCTACCACACCCGGCTAATTTTTGATTTATTGTAGAGAAAAAAGGTCTTGCCAAGTTGCCCAGGCAGGTCTCGAACCCGCGGACTCAGGCAATTCACTCGCCTAGGCCTCCCAAAATGTTGGGATTACAGGCTGAGCCACCGAGCCTGGTCTGTGCTGGCTTTTTTTTTTTTTTTGAGTTGGAGTCTCACTCTGCCGCCCAGACTGGAGTGCAGTGGCCACTCTCGGCCACTGCAGCCTCAACGTGCTGGGCTCTGACAATTCTTCCGCCTCAGCCTTCTGAGTAGCCGGAATTACAGGTACGTGCTACCACGCCTGGCTGATTTTTTTAAATTTATTTTAGAGATGAGGTCTCGCCAAGTTACCCAGGCGGGTCTCGAACCCGCGGGTTCAGGCAATTCACTCACCTCAGCCTCCCAAAGCGTGGGATTACAGGCTGAGCCACTGAGCCCGGCTCATATTTTTAAATGGTTTATTTTGCTGCCGCCCACCCCCTCCAAAGGTATCATTTCCCCCAAGACCTCCATGACCACATCCCCTTGGAGATTTTTTTAAATTTTTAACTTTTTTTTTTTTTTAAGAGATAAGGTCTCGCTTTGTTGCCCAGGCTGGTCTCAAACTCCTGGCCTCAAGTAGTCTTCTCGCTTGTCTCCCAAAGTGCTGGGATTATAGGCATAAGCTACCTCACTGGGCCTCCACTGAAGATTTTTCTCTCTAAGACTTGTCCACATTGAGCTTCCGGCAATTTTCCATTATTTTCAAGTTTCCCTCCTCTCCACTTGTTCTGCCGTGTTCAGCTCCTGGCCTCCACCCATGAATGTGACTCTCTGTATCCCCCATCTGCCTCTTCAGTTGGAGCAGTGGTTTGCCCTGTGACCTTCCTTCTCTTACAGCTCTAGGAAGAGCTGTTGATTTTCCACTATGCTGGTTCTTAGCTGTGGTGGGGATGTGAGTGTTCAGATCTGGAAGGAGCCCCAGTGCCTGCTAGACTGTCTCTGTTGGAGGCTAGCATGCACTACTGTTTCAGCACCATACAAAAGGCTGCACGGCCGGGCCCTGTGACTCAAGTCTGTAATTCCAGCACTTTGGGAGGTGGAGGCGAGAGTATTACCTGATCCCAGGGGTCTGAGACCAGCCTGGGCAACTTGGCGAAACCTCGTCTCTGCAGTAAATAAAAAAAATTAGCTGGGCATGGTGGTGCGTGCCTGTAGTTCCAGCTACTTGGAAGGCTGAGGCGGAAGGATCGCCTGAGCCCAGCAGGTCGAGGTCGAGGCTGCGGTGGTCATGAGTGTGCCACTGCACTCCATCCTGGTTAACGGAGTGAGACTTCAACTCAAAAAAAGGGGGGGGGGGGCTGCACAGTGTCTCCAGCTCTGGGTCTAGGGAGGCTCAGATGGAGGGTGTTTCTCATCAAGACATCATTCTGCCTGCAGTTTGACTTCTTTGGTTTGTAGTCCTGGTATATTATATCTGTCGTGTTATGTGAAGATAAGGAAACTTATGTAAATCTGAAAAACACTTTGCAGGCCAATTTTTTATGCCTCATTTTGCTGATTAGAAAGGTATTTCAGGTTAAAGAATGTTGTTCCAGTTTGTACAGCTAGTTAATAAAAAGGCTGAGGGTTAGGCAGAATGGCTCATGCCTCTGATCCCAGCACCTTGGAAAACTGAGGCAGGAGGATTGCTTGAGCCCAGGAGTTCAAGTCCAGCCTGGGAAACATAGCGAGACCTCATCTCTAAAATTTATGTATTTATTTGGTTTTGAGTAGGAGTTTCACTCTATGGCCAAGGCTGGAGTACAGTGGCATACTCACAGCCACCGCAACCTCAACCTCCTGGGCTCAGGAGATCCTTCCACCTCAGCCTTCCAAGTAGCTGGAACCACAGTCGTGCACCACCACACCCTTCTAACTTTTTGATTTATTGTGGAGACGAGGTCTCACCAAGTTGCCCAGGCTGATCTCGAACCCCTGGATTCAGGCAATCCTTTTGCCTCAGCCTCCCAAAGTGCTGGGATTACCCAGAACAGCAGAACATGAGCTACCATGCCCGGCCTGTTCTGCTTTCTAAGCTTTCCCAGCCCATCTTATGTCACTTAGAGGGTGAACCAGATTGGGCTATAATGAGCTGGTGACATTCCATTCTCATTTCAGATGCCTTGTATTTTCATCCCATTGACATTAAACTCAATCATTAACTCATTTGTTCATTGATAACCATTTCTTGTGTTCCTATATTCACTATCCTATGTATGAGTATTTTGAATATGGTAGATTTTTTTTTTTTTATCCAAATTGATAATCAGCTAACATTTATATTCTAGCTTGAGCAAAGGACATGTTATATATAACCCTAAAAGAAAGCATTCAGGCCAGGCACAGTGGCTCAGCCTATAATCCCACCACTTTGGGAGGCCAGGACGAGAGTTATACTTTCAAGTTCCCCAAAAAAAGTCCTGGGTAATTATAACATGGCTGGGCATGGTGGCTCATATTTATAATCCCAGCACTTTGGGAGGCCAAGGTGAGAGGATCGCCTGAGCCTGCGGGTTAAAGACCAACCTGAGCAACCTGGCAAGACTCACCTCTACAGTAAATTTTTTAGAAAAAATTAGCCAGGCATGGTGGTGCATGCCTGTAGTTCCAGCTACTTGGAAAACTGAGGCAGAAGGATCTCCTGAGCCCAGCAGGTCGAGGCTTCAGTGGCCAAGAGCGTGCCACTGCCCTCCAGCCTGGGTGACAGAGTGAGACACTAACTCAAAAAAAAAAAAAATTATGTAATTTATGAGCCTGTAGTCTTCAGCTATAGGCTGAGGCAGGAGGATTGCTTGAGCCCAGGCGTTCAAGTCCAGTTGGGCAACATAGTGAGACCTTGTCTCTAAAATATTTTTTTAAATTATAATATAGGTCAGGCTCAGTGGCTCAGCCTATAATCCCAGCACTTTTGGAGGCTGAGGCAAGTGGATTGCCAGAGCCCGCTGGTTCGAGACCCGCCTGGGCACCTTGGCAAGACCTCGTCTCTACAATAAATCAAAAATTAACCAGGTGTGGCAGCACGTGCCTGTAGTTCCAAAGACTTGGAAGGCTGAGGCGAAAGGATCGCCAGAGCCCAGAAGGTCTACACTGGAGTGTCCATGAGCATGCTACTGCACTCCAGCCTGGGTGACGGAGTGAGACTACAACTAAAAAAAAAAAAAAATTATAATGTAATTTATACATAAAGATATTAGCCATTAATACTTTTTAAAAAGCCATTATGGCTTTTTTCCCCACCCTGAACTAGCTCATTATAAACTTCATAGCCCTTTTGTTACTCTTTTTTTTTTTTGAGTTGGAGTCTCACTTAGTCACCCAGACTGGAGTGCAGTGGGTGCTCCTGGCCACCGCAGCCTCGACCTGCTGGGGTCCGACGATCCTTCCACTTCAGCCTTCCAAGTAGCTGGAACTACAGGTGTGCGCTACCACGCCCGGCTAATTTTTTGATTTATTGTAGAGATGAGGTCTCGCCAAGTTGCCCAGGCGGGTCTCGAACCCACGGGCTCAGGCAGTCCACTCATCTTGGCCTCCCAAAGTGCTGGGATTACAGGTTGAGCCACTGAGCCCGGCCTTGTTACTCCTTTTTAATCCACAGCTTCTCCATAATAGATTGACTAATTGAGGTGAAGTGAAATGCCTCAGTCCTTTCTCTGGCAGTTGTGCTCATGAGATGCATCAGCTGTGAGTCTGTAGCAGCAGCTAAGGTGTCCTCTTGAGTTTGGTCCAGTGGACTGAGGACATCTGGCCAAGCCCTTCCATTCAGGACCTCTAGGCACAGAGAAAACTGCTCTGGAACCTTGTGGGGAGTTGGCCTTAGGGATCCACTTTTCTGTTTGCCTGTTTGTTTAAGGTAGTAGCCAATTCACTTCTTTAAAAGAGATCCCATGTCACTTAAATTTCCCCTACATTTGGTCTAAGTGTTAATGGTATTAGTAAAATGTTTGCTTTCACTTCCCTTGCATTTTAATGGAATTGTGAAGGAGCCATGGAATGACTTAGGAGAGGTGGGTAAGGAGCCAGGGGTCTGGGCTAATGTGAAAATAGATAACTATTCACACAATTGGGCATTTAATTGGGATGGAGCTTGACCATCACTGATGACCCGCTGGCAGGGATTGGCCTTAGTTTATATTTTTCCCTTCAGTGACATGCCAGCAGGAGCAGCGTAGGCACGTTGCAAGGTATAAACAAAGATGCATTCGTTTGACTCAAGCTCTCATTCATGTCTTCTCTTCTTGAAGGTGCACTCACAGAGTGCTATGACGAGCTGGGGAGCAGGTACCAGCTTCCCGTCTACTGCTTGGCGCCACCCATCAACATGGTTGAGGAAAAGAGCGACATGGAGACCCTGGACATCCCTGAGCCAGCGCCCACCTCAGGGTACGAGTGTCAGCTGCGCCTGCGCCTCTCCACGGGCAAAGACCTGAAGCTGGCGGTGCGCAGCACAGACACAGTGTTCCACATGAAGCGGCGGCTGCATGCGGCCGAGGGCGTGGAGCCGGGCAGCCAGCGCTGGTTCTTCTCGGGTCGGCCCCTCACCGACAAGATGAAGTTCGAGGAGCTGAAGATCCCCAAGGACTACGTGGTGCAGGTGATCGTGAGCCAGCCACTGCAGAGCCCCACACCCGTGGAGAACTGACCAGCCCTGCTGGGTCACCAGGTCTTTGGGGCCTGCTGTCACTTCTGCTCTGCAGCTGAAATTTACTTTCACTGCTCTGAATTCCCAATGAATGAACTTTGTTCTGAGGAATTACCAGTGAAAAATTCCATCTGTGATGGAGACCAACGAAATAATAAAACAAAGAGCCAGCCTTGAGACTCATGTAATTACAAGTCTAATTTGAGAGGCAGTTAAGAAATAGATAACCAATTGTTTTAAAACACTCAACAACTCTGTAATGGCTGTATTTAAATGATCTGGACTATAAATGGAGCATTGCATCCGTGAAGAACAGCACCAAGCACCTTTTGAATATGGAATTTAAAAAAAAATATATATATATATATCAAATTATATAATTTCCAGAAACCATACGTAACAGTTATAAAATTTAAGCTTTTTTTTAAAAATGGAAACTGAAAAGAGCAGTATTTGAAGCTTGCTTCTATTCTGGTTTTTATTCTTAGCCCGATTACTATTTCGCCATAAAGGAGCAGAGACTGGCGCGTTATGCTCTTGTGTCACCACTCTGTCCCTACATTGCGCTCCTTACTATATGCGCACTCAACGTTGGTGCCTTCCAGCACGTGGGTGGCAGGCACCCTTCTCAAACACTAGGCAATAACTTGGTACAGCCAGATCTCTGATAGTCAGTTCATCCTCAGCTGAAAAGTCTCTTGTCCTCTTGCTGCATAGGTGGTTTGAAAGATCTATATAACGAGGCTTTTTTCCTACCCTGGCTGAGGTCACTGCTGTTTAATACCTTCATTGATCTGCTGTGCTTGGGACTTTTCATAGCTAACTATGACCCAAACACCTGGTTCCTGGGCCAGGAAGCCACAATGAAGTACAGCTGTTCCCACTACAGGATAGTAAAATAATTGATCTCTTCACTTGGCAGGGAGTGGTAAGGAGAACCCATTCTATCTGTGCCTAGGAGAACTGTGCCTATTTTCAGTCTTTCAGAGACAATTTCAACTCAAAATGTACAAGTGTGAAAGGTTTACTGGTATCACTTCAACATCAGCAGTGAGACCACATAATGAAATCTTGCTGTATACCTTAGTGCTTTCCAGTTCACGTTACCTCTAGTCCAGGTGGTGACGGTTTCCCTCCTGCATCTTTCCTAGCAAGCAAAGTAAGAACCATGTGAAATTAGGTTAGGGACTGAACGATTTGGTGAGATTACCTGATCCTTCTGTACTATGACTGGAGTAAAGCTGAAAAGACTTATGTTTAACTTGGAGCCTTTCAAACGTTGTTTCCATAAGTGACAAGGGGGCTAATGTGACCACTGTGCCCCAAGAATCTATGAGATGCAAAGGGAAAGGCAAGAAGGCACTTAGGCTGATCTCAGTTAGGAAACAGCCCTCCATGCCTATTCAGATGTGAAGCACCATTATTAATTTTAATGACAAGATGAAACTTAATTAGCTTAAATGTAATGTTTAAGATGGTACTCAATTTCCTATAGCCTATTAAATATATCTGTAATTGTAACTTACGTTTCTGAGAGCTTTAACTTCTTCCCTATTTTTATTTTATTGCAATCATTTTAAAGATTGCGGTTATATCTAATTTAGGTTTACTGATTATTGAATCCAAATTCAAAATAAGATAGCAGCATTAATTCCAAAGGAGAATTTTTATGTTTAGTGGTGAAGATATGAGGGTAGTTCAGTATATTGCTCCCATCATCAAAAAGTTTTTGTTTATTTGTGTCCCAGATTGAATAGCAGCATCTCTCAGAATTTGTCAACTGGAAAAGAAAAAGCCTATTTTTTCGTAAGGAAAATTGATGATGTCATCAGTATCTATGACTAGGAAAAGGTCTTGTTTGTTTGTTAAGGATTTGCGCTCTCTTTAAGAGTTTATTTTCTTTTAAAGGAACATACACTTTGAATAACAATTCTCTGGGCATGTTTAACTAATCTAGGTGAGGAAACCATGGTGCTGTTTAATTGTAAATAGATTGATAGAAGATTGGACCAATACTTGATGTGTATAATTTTAGTATGTAGGGATTTTGTGCTTTTTTAAAAAAAAAAGTTCAATTTTCTCTTTGTCTTTGCCTTTATTCTGGGTTTTTAATTGTTATTCTCTATATAAGGGAAATCTGCCTCATTCTAATGAGAAGTGTGAAGGCTTTCCCCCTTTTTAAAACCTCAGCTCAATAAATAAGAAGTTCATTATCACCAAGCGTAGGCTCTGCTATGCCAACTCATACCTGGTCCTTTGGGACTAGCATTTCATCTTCTGAGTTGAACTCTTGGTCTAAAATACACTGTTGGGTTTTTTTTTCTCTCAAGAATCATGCTGGCTGGGCACGGTGGCTCAGCCTGTAATCCCAGAACTTTAGGAGGCCGAGGTGAGAGGATTGCCAAAGGCTGGGGTTCCAGACCAACCTGGGTAACTTAGTGAGACCTCATCTCTACAATAAATCACAAAAAACAGCTGGGCATGGTGGCGTGCATCTGCTGTTCCAGCTACTTGGGAGACTGAGGCGGAAGGATCACCTGAGCCCAGCAGGTCGAGGCTGCAGTGGCCATAAGTAGCGTGCCACTACACTCCAGCCTGGGCAACAGAGTGAGACTCCAACTAAAAAAAAAAAGAGAAAAAAGAATCATGCCTGCGGTTCTAGCTACTTGGAGGGCTGGAGCAGAAGAATCATCTGAGCCCAGCAAGTTGAGGTTGCAGTGGCCATGAGTATGCCACTGCACTCCAGCCTGGGCAACAGAGTGAGACTCCCATTCATAAATAAATAAAACCTATTAGTTAACTCATTATACCTTTTTAAAGTCATTCTAATGATTCCCAGAGAAGAGGGGAAACCTTATAAAACTTACAAACTTATAAAACTGCTCATTCTTAAAACCACATAAATGTGGTTTAGGCAGTAGATAGCAGACATCCTTTTTTCTTTTTTTTTTTTGAGTTGGAGTCTTACTACTCCGTCCCCCAGACTGGAGTGCAGTGGCACGCTCACGGCCACCCCAGTCTCTGCTGGGCTCAGGCAATCTGCCTCAACTTTCCAAGTAGCTGGAACTACAGGTGTGCACTACCACACCTGGCTTATTTTTTGATTTATTGTAGAGACGAGGTCTCACCAAGTTGCCCAAGCTGTTCTCAAACCCCTGAGCTCAGGCAATCCTCTCGCCTTAGCCTCCCAAAGTGCTGGGATTACAGGTTTGAGCCACTGCACCTGGCCTGACAGCAGACACTCTTACTGCTGTCCTGTCCATTGTGCCCTTCACAATGTATCTTCTCTTTAATAAATTTATCTTTCTTAGCTCTAAAAAATAAAAAATAAATGTTTAAAATTATTCAGCCAAGCCGGGCTCGGTGGTTCAGCCTGTAATTCCACGCCTTTGGGAGGCTGAAGTGAGTGGATTGCCTGAGCCCGCGGGTTCGAGACCCGGCTGGGTAGGCAAGACCTCATCTCTACAATAAATCAAAAAATCAGCCAGGCGTGGTAGCGCATGCCTGTAATTCCAGCTACTTGGAAGGCTGAGGCAGAAGGATCGCTGGAGCCCAGCAGGTCGAGGCTGCGGTGGCCAGGAGCGGCCACTGTACTCCAGTCTGGGCGACAGAGTGAGACTCCAACTCAAAAAATAAAAAATAAAAAATAAAATTATTCAGCCAAGGCCGGGCTCGGTGGCTCAGCCTGTAATCCCAGCATTTTGGGAGGCCGAGTTGAGTGGATTGCCTGAGCCCGAGGGTTCGAGACCTGCCTGGGCAACTTGGCGAGACCTCATCTCTACAATAAATCAAAAAATCATCTGGGCGTGGTAGTGCGCGCCTGTAGTTCCAATTACTTGTAAGGCTGAGGCAGAAGGATCGCCAGAGCCCAGCAGGTCGAGGCTGCGGTGGCTGGGAGTGGCCACTGCACTCCAGTCTGGGTGACAGAGTGAGACTCCAACTCAAAATAAATAAATAAATTAAATTATTCAGCCAGAATTAATGCCTACTATACCTATTGTCCTTGGCTAGCTTTCCTTCCTGTCCCTATACTTAAACAATAAAGGGTATGGTATTTTCATTGCTTTAGCAAGCATGTTTGAAAAAAATCCACATGCCAGGCTGGGCACGGTGGCTCAAGCCTATAATCCCAGCAACTTGGGAAGCCAAGGCGAGAAGATTGCCTAAACCCAAGAGTTCAAGACCAGACTGGGCAACTTGGTGAGACCTCATCTCTACAATAAATCACAAAAGTTAGCCAGATGTGGTGGCATGTGCCTCATGTTACAGCTACTAGGAAAGCTGAGGCGGAAGGATTGCCTGAGTCCAGAAGGTCGAGGCTGCAGTGACCGTGAGCATGCCACTGCACTCTAGCCTGGGCAACAGAATGAGACTCCAACTCAAAAAAAAAAAAAAATCTACATGCCAATGTTACCCGTTGTATATCTCTGGGAAGATAGAAGAGAAAGCTTCCTGAGACCTTGTTTCAGTTTTATCTCCCAGAACTATGCCTGCATTCCAGCGCTGTCTGGCAGCAAAAGAGGCAGAAATCTATAGCAAGATGGGATCAGTTTGGGGCACTTGGGACCGACTGCTCATCTCCAGCTGCCTGTCAGGCCCGATGGCATTAGTCTCTCGACACTGGGTGCGTGTAGTGGCATCCACGGGGAAATTTCTCCCAGAGACGAATTGCAAGCCTCACCAAATCAGAGTTAGAGGGGGCACTGTGGTGAGAAGCTTGCACGCTTCTGGTCTTGACATGTCCACAAGATAGGTGCGGTGATCCCCACGTTGAAAACGGAGATCAAGCCGGGCTCGGTGGCTCAGCCTGTAATCCCGCGCCTTGGGAGGCTGAGGTGAGTGGATTGCCTGAGCCCGCGGGTTCGAGACCCGCCTGGGCAATTTGGCGAGACCTCATCTCCACAATAAATCAAAAATGAGCCGGGTGTGGTAGCGCGCGCCTGTAGTTCCAGCTACTCGGAAGGCTGAGGCGGAAGGCTCGCCGGAGCCCAGCAGGTCGAGGCTGCGGTGGCTGGGAGCGGCCACTGCACTCCAGTCTGGGCGACAGAGTGAGACTCCAACTCAAAAAGAAAAAAAAGAAAGAAAACGGAGATCAAAGTCAAGGGACACAGGTCTGGTTTTGTGCTGCCCCTCTGCGAGTTCCATTCCGTTTCTGTGATACTGTGGTGAAGAGGATCTGGCTGCTAAACATGTTAGTCATGCTCCAAAGTGTGAAATCAAGATCTCATGTCTGTTAGATAAATATAGAGTATTTATGCTGAATACAGAGTAATTAGCATGATTTCTATTACTACAAACTTGACTTGTGAATGACAGTCTTAGGTAAGCAATATCCTCTCACATTGGCAAAATGTAATTGAATTTTATTATTTGTTTATTTGAGTTGGAGTGTAGTGGCATGCTCACAACCACTGCAGCCTTGACAAGCTAGGCTTAGTCAATCCTTCCGCCCTAGCCTTCTAAGTAGATGGAACTACAAACACATGCCACCATACTAGGCTAATTTTTTATTTATTGTAGAGACAAGGGTTCTCCATGTTGCTCAGGCAGTCCTCTTGCCTCAGCCTCCCAAAGTGCTGGGATTACAGGCATTAACCACCACTACTGGTTTAAGAGGCCATATTTCTTTACTCCCCAACCTTGTTCCTCAGAAACTCATGATGTAACACATGAGATAATTAACACGCAGAAAGGATTTCTGAGCCAATGAAATTTCAGCTTAAAACTTAAACAGAATCTGCTAAAACAGGTGAGAGTCTTAGGTCCCTGGCTTGTAAGTAGGTGTCTAATTGACCTTGAATTTGAATCCTGGTCCTACCATTTAGGAACCATATGTTCTTGAGTAAGTTTCTTAATCTCTCTAGGTCTCGATTTCCTCATCTCTAAATTGAGGATAATAACACCTAATTTGCAGAGTTACAAGGATTAATCAAGTCATGCATCTTGGCTGGGCGTGGTGGCTCACACTTATAATCTCAGCACTTTGGGAGGCTAAGGTGAGAGAATTGCTTGAGCCCAGGAGTTCAAGACCAACCTGGGCAACATAGCAAGACCCTGTCTCTACACAAAAAATAAAAAAATTAGCCGAGCATGGTAGCACGTGCCTGTAGTCTCAAGTCTGAGATGGAAGGATTGCTAGAAGGATCGCTTGAGCCCAGGAGGTCAAGGCTGTGGTGAGCTGTGATCATGCTGCTGCGCTCCAGCAGGACAACAGAGTGAGACCCTGACGCCCTCCCTCCCAAAAAAATCAAAAGCCTTGCACCTAAAGACCTGCGTAACCTGTAGCAAGCACCTAATGTATGGTTGTTGTTGACATAATTAACATCACAGTACAATCAGGATTTGCAAGCCCTTTGCCAAAAAATATTTTTAAATTATTCAAGGCATTATCCAAAAATTGACATTATACAAGGGCATGGAATAATTACTTTATGCGAGCACACTTGGCACATTTAAGCCCCTAATTCAGAGAGTAATTCAGGTTTAGGAAATACAGTCTTCATGGCCTTAAACGTCAGCTTCTCTGTGGCTGAAGGCACTTCATCACTGGCCATTGTGAAATCTCCGGCATCTAGGTGGTCTTGGCTCAAGGAAGAGGAGATCAGAAAGGATTGAGAGAGCCGGACCACCAGTGAGAGACATCGGGAAAGATTTGTCTTTCATCTGCCCGGCTCCAGTGGTGATGGTATTGTAGGGCGCAGAGGGACCTACTGAGCCGGGTCATCCGAAAAGCAGCAGCAGAACTGGGACATGTCAACAAAAAGGAAGTGGTTTTTTCACATTGTGATGTGTGTCAGTAGATTATTAAAATTCAGGACCAGCTGGGCGCTGTAGCTCACGCCTGTAATCCCAGCTCTTTGGGAGGCAGAGGTGAGAGGACCAGCCTGAGCAACATGAGGTATCCTCATCTCTACAAAAAAATAATAATAAAATTCAGGACCTGGCCGGGCATGGTGGCTCACACCTAGAATCCCATAATCCTAGCACTTTTGGTAGCCAAGACAGGAGGATTACTCGAGTCCTTCAAGACCAGCTACACAACATCGCGAGACCTCATCCCTACAAAAATTAGCAGGTGTGATGGTGCATTTCTGTAGTCCCAGCTTCTTAGGAGGCTGAGGCCGAAGGATCCCCTGAACCCAGGAGTTCGAGGCTGCCGTGAGCCGTGATCATCATGACCTTGCCATTGCCCTCCAGCCTGGCTGACAGAGTGAGACCCAGACTCAAAAGTGAATACATAAATAAACACATAACATTCAGAACCTGCCAACTGAAGGGAGCTCATCTGGACCCTTCATACATAAAAGTCATTGTCAAAACACCCATTCTGCCCTCAGTTTATTTTTGGACATATTAACAGTTTAATCATGTTCTCGACTTTCAGGTCCCATTTTTTCCAAGAGACTCCTGGCTCGCATCAACTTGCTGTGACATTTTCTTTTTGAGCAGAGATTTCTCTTTCTCTGCTTTCTGCCTCTCCTGTGCTTTGTCAACGGAGAAGATGGTATACAGCTTAAATTCGTTGTAATTAAGATGCTTTTGTTAGGGGGAAAAAAAGAAAAATTATTTCAGGACAGATTCACTACCTTGTTTCAGATGACAACAGATTATAATCATTTCTTATTTAAAAACCTGGAAATGTGAAGAGGCTCAGTAATTAGGAAATAATGCTGGTCTGACTGTCGTCTAAGTACCAGGAAGAGAGAGGCCATTGTAGAATCTGAAGGAACAAGGGTCACTCTGCTACTACGCCAAGTCCAGAAGCTTCAGGCTGGCATCGAAGGCTCTTCACAGTGCGAGTCACCGTTAAACCTTAGCTCCCACTTGCTTCCCTAACACAGATTTCCTCTTTTTAAGTCGGGGTCTCACTCAGTCACCCAGGCTGTCGTGCAGTGGCACAGTCATTCCTCACCACAGCCTCAACCTCCTGGGCTCAGGCAATCCTTCTGCTTCCCGAGTAGCCGGGATGACAGGTGCACATCACTACGCCCAGCTAATTTTTTAAATTTTTCTGTAGAGATGAGGTCTTGTTATGTTGCCCAGGTTGTTCTCAAGCTCCTGGCTTCAAGGGATCCTCCTGCCTTGGTCTCCCAAATTGCTGGAATTACAGATGTGAGCCACTGCACCAGGCCTAGATTTCCTCTTTTTTTATATTTTATTTTATTTTTTGAGTTGGAGTCTCACTCTATCACCCAGGCTGAAGTGCAGGACCATGCTCACAGCCATAGCAGCCTCAACCTGCTGGGCTCAGGCAATTCTTCTGCCTCAGCCTTCCAAGTAGCTGGAACTACAGATACGCACCACCACAGCTGGCTAATTTTTTGATTCACTGTAGAGACAAGATCTCACCAAGTTGCCCCAGCTGGTCTTCAACCCATGGGCTCAGGCAATCCTCTCACTTTGGGCTCCCAAAGTGCTGAGATTATAGGTGTGAGCCACTGTGTCTGACCAGGATATATATATATTATATATTATATATTAATTTTTTTTATAGACAACCTTGCAATGTTGCTTAGGCTGGTCTCTAACTCCTAGGCTCAAGCGATCCTCTTTCCTCTGCCTTGAAGTAGCTGGGATGACAGGCACGTACCGCCATGCCCAGCTCTTAGAGTTTTGCTCATATACCCCCATCATAGAATGTTTTCTACTAATTCAAATCTGCATACTCTTCCCCCAGCACCAGTTACTGCCATATTGTTGTATTTCCTTCTCTAAACTGTGATTTGTGTCCATATTACATGATGTAGCACCTAGGCAGTCCTTGCTCTCCAAGGGCCCACAAGCCCCTTCGGGTTTGGTCTGATCCTAGAGCCACACAGTCCACTCCTTTGAGTAGGCTTTTCCCACCCTCCTCCTCACACATTTCTCCCATAGTCAGCAGGACATTGTCCTCTGCTCCTGGAAGGACACTGCCATGCCGCATTTGGGGGGTCTGTACTCACACGGTCCCCTGAGATGTCAAAGTCATGGAAGAGCTCTCTGAGTTGCTGCTTTTGAATATTGAAGAGAAACCTGAACATGTGGAAGTGTTTTGCACCAAGTTTCAGGTCCCCATTCAGGTCAAACAGGCCAAAGATGGGCCGGGAATGGCGGTACATGAACTGCTCCTCCAGATGACTCTGTGGAGAGAAAGCGGTAACAGGGCTTCATCCGCCAGCCTAGAGAACTGAAAGGCAAGACCACAGCCGCTCAGGGTGGGAAGGGTTCTGTCATCTGCGTCAAGTCCTGCGTCCATAGTCAGAGGGGACTTGAGTGATACAACCCGTGGTGATTGCTTCTGTGGGAGGACAAAACGCCATTTACCACAGAGCGTCTCCTTACACCCGGTGACAGTCTTGTGGGACATTGTGATGCTGGTGACCAGATGATGACTTCCATTCCTCAGAAAGTGGGAAATAGGGCTGGGCATGCCTATAATCCCAGCACTTTGGGAGGCTGAGGTGAGAGGATTACCTGAACCCACGGGTTTGAGAAAACCCTGGGCAACTTGGCGAGACCTCATCTCTACAATAAATCAAAAAATTAGCCAGGCATGGCGGAGCGTGCCTGTAGTTCCAGCTACTGGAAAGGCTGAGGCGGAAGGATCACCGGAGCCCAGCAGGTCGAGGCTGCAGTGGCCGTGGGTGTGCCACTGCACTCCATCCTGGGTGACAGAGACTCCGACTCGAAAAAAATAAAAAAGGCCAGGCATGGTGACTCAGCCTGTAATCCCAGCACTTTGAGAGGCCAAGGCGAGAGGATGTCTGAGCCTGGGAGTTCAAGACCAGTCTGTGTAATTTGGTGAGACCTTGACTCTACGATAAATCACAAAAAACTAGCCGGGCATGGTGTCCTGAGCCTGTTGTTCCAGCTACTTGGAAGACTGAGGCGGAAGAATCACCTGAGCCCAGCAGGTTGAGGCTGTGGTGGCCCTGAGCGTGCCTGGGTGACAAAGAGTGAGACTCGGAAAAAAAAAAAAAAGTGGGAAATAGGCAAATACCCAGTGTAAGTGTGTATTCTGCAAGGAGTGGACCCAGGAAGTGCATTTCTTCTCCCCATCCACCCCTCATCCCTTCCAGAGCATTCTCTGAGGAAAGGGACCTGGTGAGAGTGAGCATGTGAAAATCCCCTGACAGCACAGGTCCTCAGGGAAGGCGGTAGGCCAGGGCTGTGGAGATAGCCAACAGCGGGGGATGGGCCTTCAACCCAGAATTAGCTCCCCCCACCCTGCCCCCATTGTTTTCCTCCTCTTCTCTATAGGGAAAGAAGAGTTGGGATGGGATCCTAAGCCACTGAGTGCTCCCTTTAGCAGGAGGACAGCCGGCTCCACTCGCCTCCTGCGCCAGCAGGATGCACACCAGCATGTAGAACTGGTCGAAGCTGATCTCGCCCAGGGTGCTCCAGTCCAGCATGTCAAACACCACCGTGATCTGCGTCTTCTTCAGGTCGGTCACATGGTGGAGGAAGTGGTAGAACAGCACATCTGTGGGGGGAGGAGGGATCCTGAATCACGACCCGGCCGGGGGCTGCATGGAGGGGGTCGCCAGGAGCCTGGTGACCTAGGAAGGAGCACAATGACACTGGGTCTCTGGCTTCTCCGCGATGCCATCCACGGTTCCTCAAGCCTTTGTGGGCTTGAGCTTGTGAGGAAGCACAGGCCACGTGGCAGAGACGAGACAGCGGTAGGGTTTGGCCCCAGACCCAGCTTATATCCCAGGACGCAGCAGGTCCCACCAGGCAGGGGCCTAACACGTGAAGCAGGCAGGAGCTGAGCCGGGCATGGGGGCTCACACCTATGATCCCAGCACTTTGGGAGGCCGAGGTGAGAGGATTGCCTGAGCCTGCGGGTTTGAGACCAGCTTGGGCAACTTGATGAGACCTCATCTCTACAGTAAATCAAAAAATTAGTGGGGCATGGTGGGGCGTGCCTGTAGTTCCAGCTACTTGGAAGGCTGAAGCAGAAGGATTGCCTGAGCCCAGCAGGTCAAGGCTGGGGTGGCCATGAGGGTGTCATTGCACTCCAGCCTGGGCGACAGAATGAGACTCCTCAAAAAACAAAAACAGGGAAGTCTTTCTTCTGCTACTCTACTGACTAATGCCTCAGTGAGTAGACAACAGAAGAAACAGATTTGGTTATACACTGACACATGCTAAGTGCTGTCTGTATACATATCACAGAGGGTCACAAGGATTTTTTTTTTTAACGTTAACTTTTTTGTTTTTTGAGTGAGAGTCTCACTCTGCTGCCCAGGCTGGATTGCAGTGACATAATCAAGGCTACCACAGCCTTGACCACCTATGCTCAAATAATCCTTCTACCTCAGCCTCCCAAGTAGCTGGAACTATAGGCATACACCACCATACCTGGCTAGTTTTTTTGTGTTTTTTTTTAAGTTTTTAAACAAAGTTTATTAGAGAAGGAAAAGAGGAGAGATAGAGAGACATGCCAGAGCTGGCATGGACAAGAGAAACTTTTTTTTTTTTTTTTTTAGAGAAGAGGTCTCACTATGTTGCCCAGGCTGGTCTTGAACCTCTGGGCTCAAGGGTTCCTTTGGACTCAGCCTCCCAAAGTGCTGGGATTACAGGTGTGAGCCACTGAGCCCAGCCAAGGGATTTTCAAGTGTAACTTGTCTGCTTGTGGATTCCCCTTGCCCACTAGTGACAGAAATGACCTCCTGCCTAAGAGGTGGCTCCACTGAACATGTCAGACAGATCTGTGTGGCGTGGGGTCCTGGCTGAAACTGGCTAAAAACACAGCGTTAGTCTAGTGTGGTGGCATGCACCTGTAATTCCAGCTACTTGGAAGGCTGAGGCAGAAGGATAGCCTGAGCTCAGCAGGTTGAGGCTGTGGTGGCCGGGAGCGTGCCACTGCCCTCCAGCCTGGTTGACAGAGTGAGACTCCAACTTTAAAAAAATTAGTAAATAAAAGCACAGCGAGCCCAGGGTCACTCCCTCATTATATGGGGCTTCCAATGGCCTCCTGATGTTCCTTCTCCACGCCTCGCAGGTATGAGCACCTGGGGACAACATACCACAGACATGTGCACACACACAGCGATGTTTGTGCAGCTACTCCTTGAGAAGTGCTTCCACGTGGGACATGGTGGCTTCCTAATAAAGACTGTTTGGAAGCCTACCGCCTCTGGGCCACTCAAGTCTCCCAGGCCTTCGGTCTCCCACTCCCTCCTAGAAGGTGTCAGTCTCCCTTCCCCGGAGACGGAGACGGTGTGACTTTACCTCTCGAGTACTGCATCCTTGAGGGTAATTTAGTTACTAGGAAGCCCAGACGCCTCCCAGCCAGCGTCCCCAGGAGACTGGAAGGGGCTTTGCGGTCAGAACGACCTGGGTCTCTCAGCCTTTCACTCTGCAAAGAGGCGCCCTACAGCTGCCTGATCTAGGGCAGGGTTCTTGCGAAGACTTGGGAACATACCTTGTGTCTGTTGATTTGTTGAGAGAAAAAAGGCGTCTGTCCTCTTTTTATTGCTTGTTTTTCTTTTTTTGGTCTTTTTGAGTTGGCATCTCACTCTGTCGTCCAGGCTGGAGTGCCGTGGCACACTAACGGCCACCCCAGCGTCAGCCTGCTGGGCTCAGGTGATCCTGCCTCTGCCTTCCAGGTAGCTGGAACTACAGGCACACACCACTACACTCAGCTAATTTTTTTTTTAGTTTATTGTAAAGATAAGGTCTTGCCAAGTTGCCCAGGCTGGTCTGGGACCCAAGGACTCGGGGAATCCTCTCACCTCAACCTCCCTTAGTACCAGGATTATAGGCCTGAGCCACTGTACCCTGGTCTCACTTTTTTTTTTGAGTAGGAGTCTCACTCTGTTGCTCAGGCTGGAGTGCTGTGAAATGCTCACTGCATCCTCAACCTGCTGGGCTCAGGCAATCCTTCCGAATAGCTGGAACCATAGGCACATGCCACCTTGCCTGGCTAATTTTTTGATTCATTATAGAGGTGAGGTTACCCAGGTTGATCTTGAACCCCTGGGCTCCAGCAATCCTCTTGCCTCCACCTCCCAAAGTGTTGGGATTACAAGTGTGAGCCGCCGGGCTCGGTGGCTCAGCCTGTAATCCCGCGCCTTTGGGAGGCTGAGAGGAGTGGATTGCCTGAGCCTGCGGGTTCAAGATCAACCTGGGTAACCTCACCTCTATAATGAATCAAAAAATTAGCCGGGCGTGGTAGCACGCGCCTGAAGTTCCAGCTACTCAGAAGGCTGAGGCGGAGGGATCACCGGAGCCCAGCAGGTCGAGGCTGCGGTGGCCGGGAGCGGCCACTGCACTGCACTCCAGTCTGGGCGACAGAGTGAGACTCCAACTCAAAAAAAAAAAACAACAAAAAAAAACAAGTGTGAGCCACTGCGCCCAGCTGATCTTGTATTCCTGAACTCAAGAGATCCTCCCACCTCACCCTTCCAAAGTGATGGGATTACAGGCTTGAGCCACTGCCCAGACCTATTTGTTTTTTTAAGATTGAATGGACTCTAAAAAATCTTGAAGGAAGGAATCCCTTATTCATGAATGACACTTACCTCCCTGAGGCCAGGATGGATGAATGGATAGAACATCTCGTTTATACTCAGTACTAGAAAGAACCGGAAGTGTTTTCGTTGGCCTTCTATTGGTCTGGGGACTCGGCAGGCAAGGCCGATTTTGTTGCCATTTTTCAGTCTCTCACAAGTACCAAGAATTGAAGGCCCTTGCGGATCACCTGATTCAAACCTCCCACTTAACAGAGAAGAAAAGTCTCAGGCCGGACAGGGTGGGGCTCAGCGCCCTAAAACCATCGTCATCATCATCATCACCATCATAGTGAACACGTATTATGTCCTTACTGGGTGTCAGGCATCGTGCTAAGCATTTGCCATACATTATCTCGCAAATTTATCTTTTTCTCAGCCAGGTGGCAGGTGGTGGCGGCTCATGCCTATAATCTCAGCACTTTGGGAGGCTGAGGTGAGAGGATTGCCTGAGCCCAAGAGTTTGAGACCAGCCGGGGCAATATCGCGAGATCTCGTCTTTACAATAAATCAAAAAATTAGCTGGGTGTTGTGGCTCAAACCTGTAGCTCCAGCTAGGGGAGGCTGAGGCAAAAGGATCGCTGGAGCCCAGGAGGTCCAGGCTGTGGTGGCTGTGTGCATGCCACTGCACTCAAGCCTGGGCGACAGAGTGAGACTCTGAATCAAAAAAGTCAATTTAAATAAATAAATAAAAGAAGCCTTGTCTCAGTGAAGAAAATGAGATAGGCTGGGTGCAGTGGCTCATGCCTGTAATCCCAGCACTTTGGGAGATGGAGGTAAGAGAAATGCCTGAGCCCGGGGGTTCAAGACCACCCTGGGCATCGTGGCGAGACCTTGTCTCTACAATAAATCAAAAACTTAGCTGGGCGTGGTGGCACTCACCTGTGGTTCCAGCTACTTGGAAGGCTGAGATGCAAGGATCACCTGAATCAAACCGGTCGAGACTGTGGTGGCCGTGTGCGTGCCACTGCACTCCAGACTGGAGAGACTCCGACTCAAAAAAAAAAAAAAAAAAAGAAAAAAGAAAAATAAGACAAATAGGGTGATGACAGGCTCCCCAAGTCACCCAGGAGTAGCGGCAAGCCAGGGCTTCAGCCCAAGCCTGCGGTTCTCCCCTGGACCTGCTGGGCGGGTGCTTTCTCTGTTTGCTTCATCTAGAAGATAAAATGATGGGTAACTAACTAGTTTACTGCGTGTACACTTTCCTCTGTGAGCTGAGAGCCAGGTACCAGCCCCGGGGAGCGCGTCTGGAAGCACCCACCATTCAAGCTGTTCCTGCGGTGCACGTCCAGCATGTGAAAATACTCCACCAAGGCCCTCACATTCCGCACGGACAACAGGCAGTAGATCTTGTCCAGGTAGAGATACCACAGGAACGAGCCCTGCTGCAGCCTCATCTCGCTGCTCTCAAAGCCCAAGGCAGCGACCAGTAGAATAGAGAATCTGGCCTCGGAACTAGAATGTTGGATGGAGCATCTTAGGAGATCCAGCAGCAGTAAAGGTCAAAAGGTCAGAGGAAGTGGTCAGAGGACTAAAGCTGCTTCCTCTCAATTCGCCAGCTTTGCTATGAATATATTTTTTTTTCTGAGTTGGAGTCTCACTCTGTCACCCAGACTGGAGTGCAGTGGCCGCTC